GTTTTTAGCTTGAATGAACAACTCTGTGCAAAACTTTTTCCAGTGTATGCACAAGAGGTATGGAGAAAATCTGAAAAGGAAAAGGACTTGTAAGTAAGGCTTACAGCTATGTTGGGTCTAAATTAGATATGAATGATTCTTCTTACAATCTCATTCGAATCCGTCAACTCAGTGAGGAGGGGGGCAGAGTCCAGATAAGTAGAAGATTCTCTGGTTAGCAGGTAGGTAGATGGGTGGTGGGTGGTAACAGGATCTCTAAGGTCCAGTTCAGCTTGGGGATACAGGAGGTACACAGGTAGGTCCAGGATCAGAACCTCACAGAAACAGGAACCAGGAGGACACAGAGGAATAATGTGGTAAGTATTAATTTAGTTTTCAGGAAACACATAAGTTGTCACTATACTGGTTGGTATGTAATGTTCCAGCATTGGAAGGATCACTTCAGCAGTCATACATACTCCTGGAGCTCATTTCCAAGATCAGTCCCAGCTGCTGCTCATTGGTGCCAACCTGCTACAAGAGAAAAAAAAGCAGAGGGAAAAAAATGGAATCACACAGATAGATTTGATATTCTTACACTATTACAATCAAATATTGTTACTTTATAAGCTCAGATGTTTATTTCAGCAAACTTGCAAATTAGCACACAGCTGTACTATTTATTGCATGACCACAATACTCTTTTTAACGACATAAAATAATATATTCTCTGCTTTACATTAAAAAATCGGGCAGCACGGTGGCGCAACTGGTAGAGCTGCTGCCTCTCAGCGAGCAGGTCCTTGGTTCAAACCCCGGTCCAGGGGCCTTTCTAGGTGGAGTTTGCATGTTCTCTCCGTGCATGCGTGGGTTTTCTCCGGGTGCTCCGGTTTCCTCCCACAGACCAAAAACATGCATGTTAGGCTGATTGGTAACTCTAAATTGTCCCTAGGTGTGAGTGAGAGAGTGAATGGTTGTTTGTCTCGTTTGTCTCTATGTGGCCCTGTGATGGACTTGCGACCCGTCCAGGGTGATTGCTGGACATGGGCACCGGCGACCCATGTGACCCAAAATGGAATAAACGGGTAAAGATAATGGATGGATGGATGGATGGATGGACATTAAAAAATCCAGTTCTTATCCACATCATGAAACTTAAATAATGATAACAACTGCACTGTTCTTTGCACAACTGTTAAAGTCAAACTTTAACTCTCTGGGCCTTGAGCAGTTGCATCAGTATTTATTTCCTCAGGAAGCCATCTATTTTGTGAAGAGCACCTGTCCCTCTTGCTGCAAAACACCACCACAACATGATGCTTCCACCCCTGTGCTCCATAGTTATTATAGTTCACACTTCTTGACTTTTTTCAAACGTAACAATGGCCAGCAAGGCCAAACAGTTCAAACTACAGCCTACAGGACATGAATCCAAAACTTGGGGCCTTTGTCTCTGTGTACTGTGCATTTCAAATTGTATTCTGTTTCTTTTATTGTGCTTTTAGCTTACTTCAGCGCCAAAGGTCTTGCCACCCTCTTTGGTTAGTACTGATCTTGCTGCCAATCAGCTTACAAGAATCTACCCATACACATTTGGCCATAAACCAAAATTAAGGTATGAACTTGTGCACTTGTGTGACTTTATCTCTGTTTGTTTGAGTTATGTTTATGGTCTCATTTGTGTCGGGACTTCCAGGTCTGTGTACCTCCACAACAATAAGTTGAGTGATGCCGGACTTCCTGATCACATGTTAAATGGCTCGAACAACTTGGAGATTCTCACCATGTCCAGCAACTTTCTGCGGATTGTTCCCAGCAACCTGCCCTCCAGTCTTTACCGCCTTCATTTAAAGGTCGCTTAAGAGTCAAACACATAACTACACACCATAGCATCTTTCTGCTTAAGTGTGCAGCTGCATTGGTAGCAGTTTTGCCAATGTTTATTCCTGAAAACAAAATAATAATCATGACTTTTGTTTTTCTTTCTGATGCAGAGTAACAAGTTGGAGAAAATTCCAGCTGGAGCCTTAGATAACTTGCGAAACCTGAGAGAACTGTATCTCCAGAACAACCTGCTCACCAATGAGGGGATGGACAGCGAGACTTTCAGGTGAAAAAAAACAAACAAACATATTTTCTCTTTTGTTACACATGGGCTAGCACCCTGCACATGCATTTACAACAATGGGTCCACAAACATTTCAGCTTCTGATCTATGGGAACTAATTCCAATCATAAATAGTTTTTGCTTGTAAATCAGCCTGTGTAGTTGTGAATTAGGAGTTGCAACTTTGTAAAATAAATTTGTGTTTTGCGTATGTGTAGATAAGAATGTGTGTGTAAAAAGGATTTACATCCATCCATTTTCTTCTTAGGACTCGGAGTTTGGCTGGTGGGTACAAAGGACTCTCAGCAACAGGCTTAACTTAGGACACATAGAAGGTTGGGTGAATATGTATAGAAGTGGGTAACGGCAGCCTGACTGCCGATGGGTTGATAATTTTCACAATGGGAAAAGGGCCAATGAACCATGGAGCCAGCTTCTTGAGGGTATCCTTTAGATTGGGGCCAAGATGGTGTAGAGGTACGGCAGCCAACCTGGGACCAGAAAGTCGCGGTTTGACTCCCTGTCATGCCCACATGTTGTGGTGTCCCTGAGCAAGACACCTAATCCCCAATTTCTCCCCAGGTACCTACATAGTTGCCCATTTCTCCACCTGGCTGTATCTCAGGTGTGATGGGTTAAATGCAGAGAAGCAATTTCATCATTGTATGGGAACGTACAATGATGACAAAACATAGCACTTATTAATCCTTACTTATTATAGATGAATGTCACGTGAAGAGAGCCATACCCTTTGATTGACTTGGTAGGATGGAGCTGTAGAGTGTTGGTCAGCAAGTTTCTTGTTCTGAGAGGTATGGGACCAGGGCTGCCTGGTGATTGGCAACAGCTGCCATTTGCCTGTAGGTGGTTGGTTGCCAATTGTTTCTAGCACAGTTAGGACAAGCAACAGCAAAGTCCTGACGTCCTGTTTCAAGGACAGCCACCAAACGTGCTTTTTGGCTAGAGAGATCATACGAGTGACACCAGAAAATGACGGGACAATTTATTTGTGTGCAGCCAATCTAGTACCTTGGCCTTGACGCACAAAGGAAAAAATAAGGTCACAGCAGGTCCAGTATACCCAGGTCATATTCTGATTCTTCATAAACACATCTTCGCAAAAAATTGTAACTTGTGTAATTATTTTTTACAAACATCAATCATCGTTTTACACACACACATTTCTATCTACACATACACAAAGCAGGAATTTATTTTACAAGGTTACAAAACTTAATTCACAAATACTTAGTTTGATGTACAAACGACTGGAATTTGCACCCATTCTGATCCACAAAATTAAAATCCACAAATCTTATGACCGCAAATATCCCACATTAAAGTATATAATTTTTTCAACTAGATCAAGTAAACAAGAAGTTGTGGTACTGTATTGTAGTATCTCACTGGGCTGAAACTAGTTAAATGACCATCATTTGTAGGAGCGTCCTCGGAATGTCTCCTGGTTTACACGGGGGCTCTCAATTTCCTCAAGCAAGTCACATATGTGTTCAGTCCTGTTGCTTGAGTTTTGAAAATGTTCAAAAAATTACAGATTCTGTCTCAAAACAGTCACTAAGTCAATGTGGGCATTATCAGTCTCAATACAACTACAGCTGTTTTTTAACACTCCTGCATGGGAGCTTTCCTCTGACAGAAAACATCTAAAGCTAATGTCCTGGTCTGAAAAAAAAATCACTTTGTTACAATAATCAATTATAATTTACTTAATAATAATAATTTAATAATTATTATAATTTATTTATTATACAATAATAATAAGTTTAATTCCCCTATATTAAAATCTTATTATCCTCATTTCAAAAGTTTGATACTGTGGATTAAATCATAAATGTGGGGGAGACTGCCATGGTGGCTGTGGTGTGGAAACAAAATAATGTGCAGGGCCAAGAATGCAGTTTTGCAGACAATGCGTCTATAGTAGTATTATAGTAATAATACATATCATAATGTAGGGCTGTGATTTTCAAAACCTGGCAGCTCAAAATGCAGCCACATGGCTCACTGGTCTCTTTGTCACTGTCACTTTGAATTTAGTGATGCTGATATGGAAAATCTGAGCATTTCCTTGTGTTTTTCCCATAAATTAGACACCAGCTAGTCTTCAACAGCTGCAGCCCAGTGAAATAGTACCTTACAAGCAATGCTCGACCAGTCTGAGGTGAATATATTCTATTAAGTCTATACATAACAATGCAACATGAAGAAGGGCACCATTAGCGCACTTATTTGGGTCTATAAAGAAGTCAGTATTTTAAATTTGCCATATAATCCCTCTTTGAATTTTAACATGTTTGTAACAGCCTTTTTGAAACATTAGTTTAAATTTTACCTTGGAATTTTTTTTACTTTGACTCAAGTGTGTTGACATCAAAACCAGTCATTTGAGAAAAATTTGGTAAAATTATTTTCTCCCCTTTTTGCAGCCAACTGAGTAGCCTCGAGTATCTTGATCTATCAAATAACAACCTGAGTGTTGTTCCCATGGGTCTGCCTCGCAATCTAGTGCTGCTACATTTGGAGAAGAACTCAATTCACAGCTTCCCTGGAGATGCTCTCAACCCGGTCAGGAACCTTGAATACCTGCTCCTTCACAATAATAAACTCCGCTCCCGTTCTATTCATCCAATGGCTTTCCAGGTACATTTAATTTTATCACTTTGCCGTTCTCTCTTGAAGTATATCTACAGAAGACACATTAACAATTGTACAACTTAACAGACATGCACATGTGAAATTATAAGCACAAACTATATATTATATGCTAAAATGCAAAATCTCATTGGTATGTTTGAATCTAAATTTTCTCTAGGGTTTGAAGAAGCTTCACACTCTCCACTTGTACAATAATTTGTTGGAACGCGTTCCCAGGGGCTTACCTCGTCGAGCTAAGACCCTAATGCTGCTCCACAACTTTATATCTGAAATTGGCCGCAATGACCTTGCTGTGCTGTATTCCCTGACTGAGCTAAACCTCAGTTACAACAAGTTAACCAACCCTCGGTTGCATCACGAGGCCTTCAGGAAGTTGCGTGTGCTGGAAACTCTCGACTTATCTGGAAATGCCCTTCAAACTGTGCCCATGGGTCTTCCTCGCAGTCTGCGAGTTCTGGAAATCAAGAACAACCAGCTCAGCTCAATACCTGCTGGTGCACTGACAGGCATGGAGAAGTTACAAAAATTGATCCTCAGTGAGAATCAACTAAAGCTCAACTCTGTCTACCAGGGAGCCTGGATGGAGCTCAGTGCCCTCACAGTAAGTGTTCTGGAAAAACACCGGTCAGATTAGTAACAACCTTTGTCCACTGCATAAATATATAAAATGTAACTTGACCTCCCAAAACCTGATAATTTTGTCACCTACCATCTAAAGCTTTTTCTTAAGAATGATCTTACTGAATAAAGACTTTTGTTTGTCACAGTTGTTTTACTGTATCCAGTTTGTGAATTATATTATGTAACTACTACAGAACTGAAAATAAAATGACAAAAACAAAGCATCAGATATACAGTAGGTTCTGTTTTATTTGATGACTGTTTTTGCAGTGGAGAAGGGCCCTGGGTTTCATATAAAAGTGTAAATCTTTAATGCGTATTTGTCTGATTATTTATGTTTTCAGACACTGGACTTGTCTGGAAACCAGCTAACACACGTTCCATCTGACCTGCCCGAGAGTTTAGAATACCTTTACCTACAAAGCAACCGCATCTCCAGTGTTCCTGCTTCAGCTTTTGAAAACACTCCAAACATCAAAGGCATCTTCCTCCGGTAAGAAACACTTGGGCCTCAATTTATCATGATTTCATTCAAAACAGTCGCCTTCTACTGAACATTATTTATCAGAAAACAACTTCAACAAGGTTATGACCTAAACAACAGAAGTACTCCCATCCAAGACCAGATATGAACTCTGCTGGATCTCTGTCTTTCTATTACTTATTTCAAACAAAACGACAGTCTTTACAGACCAAAGAATGGTTGTGCCATGGGATATCCAGTCTAAGCCACACAGACATTGGCCACCATGGTTTAGACTAGAGATCCTATTGTACAACCATGCTTCGGCCTGTAATGTCTACATGGAAAAAAAAAAAATGAAAAATGAGTCTGAACACCTACAAAGGAACAATACCAAACCACTGGTTCAGATATGTGGATGATACCTGAATCAAAATCCAAGCTAAGGAAGTAGAAGCATTCACCAGATAAATCAGCTCTGTGGACAACAACATCAGGTTTACAGGAGAGTAGAGTTGCATTCGGATTCGACCCGGCCCCAGCCCACAATCATAATTTCGGCGCCCCACTCGACCCGGCGAATTAACAGTAATTACAGGTCAGAACCAGGAAACCCCCCCCCGACATTTTTAATTAGTTATTAACGGTCTGGGACGCGCAGCTGAATAAAAGATGCCGAAGATTCGGAGCTGAGGGTGTTTGTATTTTCATGACCATAAAAAAGCATTTAAACCCCGTTTCTGCCTGCATTCTTCTGAATTACTGAGACACGCGGACAGCTCTGACACGCGTCTGCTTTAGGATCTCACCTGCATGGATCATCGGCCTCGCGCGTCTGCTGAGTGGCACTTCCCATATGAGGCTTAACTGAACTTTTTACCTCTTTCAAGGTCAATCAGCTCACGGTGAAATGGCTGTGTACAGCTGGTGGAAGTATGGCAGGCCATGTTATCATATAATTGGATGGTGGCTGATCCTGATCTAATTAAAAGTCCAAGACCGGCCCTGCCTGCCCATTAATCACATTATAACAGTCCGGCCCTAATCTGGGTCGGTCCGGGCTGGGTTTCGGGTTAGGGTTAAAAATGACAGCTCTACCAGAGTAATGACAACAAGCTGTCTTTTTGGATTGTTTGGTGCACATGGCAAGATTTGGAAGCTTCAACATTGCAGTTTATAGAAATACAACCCAGACAGATCAGTACCTTCTGTTTGACTCTCACCACTCCTTGAAACACAAACTTTAAGTCATTAGAAGTCTTGAAAATTCAAGTTCAAGAATCTTTATTACCCCTGAGGGGCAGTTTGTTTCACAGTCAGTGGGCACACAAAACATCCAAAGTAGACAAGACATTGAAACAAAATAAAAGTACAGACATCATCGCTGTTCATTGAGAAGCCTGATTGCTACAAGGTTTGAGTTTTTCAGTTTTTACATGAGTTTTACAGTCTGTTCATTCTACATCTGGGCAGCAGATACCTGCGTCCAGATGGACGTAACCTGAACTCACCATGGAGTGTGTGATCAGGATCTGCCAGAATCTGCCTGGCCTTGTTCACTGACCTCACCTTGTGTAGGTCAGTGAGGTTCTGTAGGGCTATGCCAACAGTTTTGCTGCACATCCTGACAGTCCTTGAGTTTGTTCCTGTTTTGCATGTTAATAGTCCAAACCAACAGATGAAGGTAAAAGTTAAACAGGAATAAAACATTCTCATAAAAGTTGAATCAACCTTAAACCCACGGAGCTTCTGATAAAAATACATTCTCTGGTGGGCCTTCTACAAAGTGAGCATGAAAGTTCAGTTTGTCATCATGAACAGTTTCCAAATATTTATATTGATGCACCATCTCAACAGCTTCACTATTAATGATCACAGGAGTGGCAACTGAAGAGTCTTTCCTGAAATCAATGACCATCTCCTTTGACTTAGAAACATTTATCTTTAAAAAGGAAAACTCACACCATTCAGTGAAGTCCCTGACCACAGGCCCGGGGTCTGGGTCATCACTGCTGAGAAGGGACAGGATGACAGAAACATCAGCAAACTTTAAGATGTCACGCTGTGGGAACTGGCTGCAACAGTCGTTTGTATATAAAATGAATAAAAGGGGTGAAAGAACTCAGCCCTGAGGGGAACCGGTAGAAGACAAAAGACATCAGAGAGAACCTGTTGACCCTCACCTATTGAGACAGAACAGTTAAAAAATCCACAAGCCAACAAATGAGGCCAGCGTTGAGGCCGTATAGACATTGTAATTTCTCTGCTAAAATGTAGGGCTGAATACAATTAAAAGCAGATAAAAAGTCAACAAAAAATTTTCTTACAAATGTTCTTGTACCTTCAAGGTGTCCTAAAATCATATTTAAAAGTGTTCCTGTTGTGTCCTCCACTCCTCTACATGAACAATAAGCAAATTTGGGTCCAAGTGATCTTCAACTTTTGACAAGAGGGCCTTCCGGACCAGTTTTTCGAATGACTTTGTTACTAATGAAGTCAGTGCAACAGGCCTGAAGTCGTTCAGGGACTGAAAGGTCTTGGTTTTTGGGATTGGAACAATAACAGGGTCTTTCGAGAGCTGTGGGACCCTAAAGAGCTAAATATGTCCTCTTGAGAACAAGAAAAGGAAAATGAACAGAAACACAAAAAAATATCTGAGATATCCAAGAAGCTCTGATTTTTTTTTTTAAATCTAAAGACAACATCCTGGTGCATTCCAAACCTGACAGGACCCTCAGACAGAAGCAAGTCTATCCTAAGGACAGATTCCCCAAACCCAAACAGAGCAGTGTGGGGTCTGCAGGAATGTTCAGACCTTCATAATGGAGAAACTACCTCTCCACAGACACATGGCTCATCACAGGGGGACCAGCTTTTAGGACAAGACTCGGTGGTCCGCTTATACCTCAAGAATAAGGGACATTCTGTCGAGGACCAAAATGTTTATATTTTAGACAGAGAAGACAAATGGTTTTGGGGGTGGTGGTGGTGGGGTGTCGAGGTGTCATTTATGTCAAACAAGAAAACCCCACTTTAAACAGAATTCTTTGATTTATGTTTTGAAAAACCTACAATGGAGCACTGAGCCTGATACGCTGTCAGTTTCTCCTTAATTCACACCTTCATGCATGTGACCAAAGCATCTTTCTTGTAAGCCAGGCATATAAAGACCCTAATGTCTCTGCAGGAGTGACAGTAATCATCCACATGAACTTTATTAATAGAGCATCTCATGCATTTTAAAACTTGGAACCCCACACTCTCCATGTTTGAACTGAGAAAGCTTCCTGGATGTGAATCGGAACGTCTTTAACTACTGGATAGAAGTCCATTTGCTTTGTAAACTGTTTTGGATCATTACAACAAACCACTGAACCTTTACTTTATTCAAGATTCAAATTTTATGTTATGAACAATTGGACAAGATGAGTAAATTGCTGCCTCATCAGCTGCATCAAATATCTGCATTCCAGTTGATACCTCAAATTGAAATTTGTGCACGAGTAAAATCAAACCCACTGGAAATGATAACTTTTGTGGAATTTGTTTAAATATCTGTACTTATCTGAGTCCTCTGATGTTTATGCAGACTTGATTTACTTCCTCAATGACATTACTATTCCTGCTCTGGGTCAGCTCAATGAACTGGACCATTCTATCATGGCGATAAAGCTTGAGACTGCATTCATTCTGACATTTTCTCGTTGTTGTGCAGCTTGTATTGTCAGTTTGTTAAATGTTTCCTTCAAACTGTTGACAAAATTACTAGGCACCGAGCAGCAGTTTTACCCCAATTATCTCTATACCTCAAACTGGGTTTATCTGCGCAAGGCACTCTTTTTTTAATCTTCAGAAAGTATTTAACATATACAACCTCTCTACAGCTGCCCTGCAACATTCCTTAGATAGAGAACTTTACTAATTGGCTTTTATGTATGTGAATGTTCGTGTAAAGTGCTCTGAGACAACTTTGTTGTGATTTGGCGCTATATAAATAAACTGAATTGAATTGAATTATTTGGAAAGAGTATATACAGTCTGCACTAGGTGAAGTTTCTCGCGATGCTCCATTCTACATTGAGCTCACAATAGTAAAGTCATGCTTGTAAAAATATTTGACCCAGTATCCTGTATTTGTGGATGATGATAACAGCAAATTGCCAAATCTTCGTGCGAGTTCACGGACTGTGGCGACCCCTGAAGAAGAGTGCAGCTGAAATAAGAGTATATTTTATTATGCTTTTTTTTCCCGTATTTTTTGTTTGGGGTAGGTGCAAGTGTGTGGGGATGGGCTGAATTAATATGTTTTAAGTTCCAAAATAGAGTACTAAAAATGCAGTTTTATTGTTAATAAATTTATTTTTTGGAAGCGTCCAATGTGCTCAGTCTAATCTAAATATGGTCTATCTGCAGGGTATTCTGTCAGAACTTCATTTTGTAAAGTACTGCAGCTTGGTATCTAATCTCTTCATCTCCACTAACTTCAGTGCATTCAATTTTTTTTATTTTTGGCTTTATTCCACATAGTGCAGGCTTATTCCACCAAGCTCTACTGCTGAAAGCTGCAGCTCCACAAGAGTTAAGAGGTTTGGGACATGTGCTTTCAAGGCTTTGGTTTTGTTTGTGTTTCAGTGACCTCAGCCTCGCCACTTAATGTTTACAGGCTCTGACCCTTTCTGTTCTGTTGTGTTTGCTACATTTGTGCTGTATTCTAAAAATGATTGGATTGTGACAAAATGGGGAAAAGTTCACATCTGAAAGTATGAACACTTTCTCAGTTTTTTCTTTTTTCTATGTGGATAACATGTGGGCCCCTCTTGCAGAACAACAGCTCGACGCTTCATCTGGCAGAATTACAGGGGTGGCTGGTATAAATGGACTAGCAGGGCTATGCTAACATAGACTAAGATTTACACAATGGTTTTTGTATATTTACACATTGTATATCAGCCCACTTTATCACCACTAGCTGCCACTGCAGATTTATAAATAACACTGCCGGTCTATGAAGATTGCGCTCTTTTCTGTGGTCTGACAGATGAACAGTCAAATGTCAGAAATATGTTTTAAACGCACCTTTCTGTTTTTGTGTTTAAAGGTTTAACCGCCTGTCTGTGGACTCCGTAGACGAGAGCTCATTTGCACATCTGGTCAACTTGCAAGTGCTGGACTTTGGTGCAGGAAACACAGAGCTTTCCTTTAAAAGAGAGGAAGTGGAGGTTGACAATGTAACAGAGAAGGATTAGGAAACAGAAAACACTCCATCAAACAGACGCTGAACTGCAAACACACACACACATGTATATATATATATATATATATATATATATATATATATATATATATATATACATATATTGCCAAGGACAGAAAAGCTTTTAAAGGCGACTGTACCTCTGATTTCCATTTGGTGCAGTCATGTTCATTCTGGTGCAGGTTACTGGAGGAAATTGTTTTTCATTTTGAAGGATGGTTAGTATTGCATTTTTATTATTTTTTTTACATTTGTTTTAATGCTTGACGTGCAACAAAAGTGTTATTTTTGTGCTTTAACACATTTATAGCTCAATTTCTCCCATGTGATTGTTTAGGATCAACAACAAAAATGTGAGCAATGTAAAAAAGCAAGTTTTATTTTTTTAATTTTCTTTGTCATTTGAAAATACCTGTCTTGCTCTATACCTTAAATGTCATTTCGTTGAATTTCTGTGAAACGTTCTGTGTATTAAACTCTGTACTTGCCAAGTAAGGCACTTTGCCTCTTAGTGGAAGCACAAAGGCTGTGATAACCTTTGAATCAGGCACAGAAAAGCATTTTTGTTAAATGCCATGTCTTATTTTTGCACGCCTAACTACACACTTTATCTTTTAGTTGTAACAGATTTAGCAATGTCAATCAAAACAGATGAGGATTTAGTTTTTAACAACAAACCTGGTGCTTTATGTCTGATGAGCTTTAAAAATGTTCCTTGTATCAAGCGTATTATCGTAGCTGTAAATGTTTATTGTCCCACCGTCGAAGTCAAAAAGGCGATAATGTTTCATGTATGAGCTCATTTGCTAGTAGCATTAGCAAAATATCGCTTAAACCACTGAACGCATGTTAATGAAACACTCAGAAAGTGATTATTGTGTGTACATGTACTGACTTTAAGAGTCAGCGTCATCAAGTATGGCCATCACTGTTCAGAGACCTTATCAAACACCAAAATGGTTTTAACTCAGACAATTTTATAGACATTGAGACAAAATTTGGTGTGGTAGTAACTGAGTCCATCCCAAGACATATTTTACTAAAACACTTTGTGAGATTTTGCATGAGCTCACACAAAAACATAATTTACACGATTTGGCCATGTAGGCTATAACTTCACCACTCAGATTCTAGTGTGAAAGACTGCAGGCAACGTACATTTTTTAAAGGAGTGCTGTCTTTATTTTTCGTTGGAGTTCAAATTAAAAGTGCTTTGTGAAACCTCTTGTGAACATTCAAAGTTGAGTTACCATTCCAGTGAATCAGGTGGAACAAATACACTTCTGTTCTTTCCCATTCAGTAAAGTTTAGTTTCCTAAACAGTTTTTTAAGCCAGAAAAAGTGATTTTCAGAAAAATAGCAGGAGATATACAAGTTGAATAGACACGATAGCTCTACAGTGTGTTTGGTTTGTCTCACTAATGGAATTAAATGCATGTGCTTAGTTTTCTTTCATTGTGTTGACACGTGCTTCAGATTTAAAATTCCCAACAAAACACCCATCACCATCATATGAAAAGCTTCAGTTTATGTTATTGCTAATTAAATCCACTCCTGCTTTCCACAGTACATTTTTAAATATTGTAAAAATACTTACCTTGTTATGCTAACTATATTGATATGAATTGAGTCACTTTCACATGCAGTAATATTGTATTGTCACATACAACATTCACTGAATAAAAAACACTTTTTAAAAAAAATATTGAGAAGTTTTCTAATGTTCAGCAGAACACCCCCCCTTCCCCCCACACATACAGATGAACTTTGATAACACACTGATGCTGAGATTTATAATGTCTGCAGATTGTCCCAATTTTTCATGGTTTAGCACATGTTGGGTGTTCTACAATAAATATTAATAATAAATATGTTTTAACATCTTTGATTGCAGATACGCAAGCATTTTTCTTTGTTAAAATCAGTTCTCTCTTGGAAATGAGTCCCTGAGGCTCAATGGGATTGACCTGTCTAAATAAACGTTGAAAGAATTTTAGGAATCGATTACCTTGTTACTGTATTCATATAACACATTTTGAATTGCCTTAAAAAGCCTTTTTGAAATGTATCTAAAGATTACAGCTAGAATATAAGAGGTAGCAATACTTAATATAATTCATTACGTACATGGTATTTAAAAGTATGGGAACTGGTTCCTAGTTTAGATACTTGTTATGCACTGGGTACAAAGCTGGGATGAATTGGGCACGCAAATAGTACTTACGGGTTAAAAACTTGGACCATACTGGGTAAAACTTCGTACTTAACTGGTACTTACAAATGTATATAAATATATAA